AAATGTTTCTTCCCCTGTCTCTTCTTTGGTATGGCTTATGATTTTGGCATTAAGATTTCCTTTTTAGAGTTTTTCATCCTTCTTGAGCTAAATACCAATTTTAGGTATAAGCCTATGTAGTAGATATCTATTGCTGTGTAACAGGATTACAACAAACTTAAGTAGCATAAAACAACACATTTATTGTTTCTCAGTACCCGTGGGTTCAGAATCCAGGCACAGCTTAGCTGGATACCCTGCTCAGAGTCTCACAGGGCTGCAGTCAAGGTGTGGACTGAGGCTGTGCTGTCATCTGGGGTTTAATCTGCTTCCAGGCTCATTCAGGTTATTGGCAAAATTCAGTTCCTTGTGGTTATAGGACTGAGGACTTCAGTTTCTTGTTACCTGTCAGATGGAAGCCACCCTCAGCTCCTAGGGCTACCTGCAGTTCCCTGCTACATGAGGGACCCCCAATGCCACTTTGTTTCCTTAAAGTCAGGAAGGGAGGGAATATATCCAGCAAGACAGGCAAAATAAATCATGTAATGTAAGCATGTACACATCACCACAAATATCCTATCACTTTTGACATGTACTGTTGGGTGGAAGAAAGTCACAGACATCACCACACTCAAGAGGAGGGGATTACACAAGGGTGTGAACATCAGGAGGCAGGGATCACGGGAGCCACTTTAACTACAAGTCTATCTGCCACAGCATGTAAACATTGTTTATGAACTTTTATAATGTTCTTTCTTGAAAAGTATACTTTCTGAACAATAAATGCTTTTTATTTTATTTTATTTATTTATTTGACGGAGCTTCGCTCTTGTTGCCCAGGCTAGAGTGCAGTGATCTTGGCTCACTGCAACCTCTGCCTCCTAGGTTCAAGCGATTCTCCTGCCTCAGCCTCCCGAGTAGCTGGGATTACAGGCATGCACCACCACACCCAGATAATTTTGTATTTTTAGTGGAGATGGGGTTTCTCCATATTTGTTCAGGCTGGTCTCAAACTCCGGACCTCAGGTGATCTGCCCGGCTCGGCCTCCCAAAGTGCTGGGATTACAGGCGTGAGCCACCAAGCCCAGCCAAATGCTTTTAATTTTAATTCCCCAACTTACTACTGAAGTATTAATGAAATCTATTACATTTCAAAATAATGTTGCCCCAATTCAACTCTTTTGCCTTTCTCTATGTGATTAAAAATGCTATAGAGTTAGACACTGCATTTGTAATCTAATATATACAAATTAATTACACTATAAATTATATACATATAGATACATAGTACTGTAATATACAGAAAACTCTGCTACACCTGATAGATGATTATAAGCAATTTAGGGTAATCTTTATTTTACATGATTTTTCTTCATACTTACCAATTTTCACCCTAACTGCCTTGTAAGCTACAATTCTACTGCATCCTGAAATATCCTGCTTTATTTTTATACTGTTTGTGGCAGTGGCATTCATGTTAAGGAGCTTTTGAAGAAAAGTGTGCCTGCTGTGACATTACATCAGATCTACTTGATTATTTTTAATTCAATCTTCCTATAGCCTATTTCTTAGCCTTTTACTTTCTAGGCTACATGTCTAGTTTTAAAATAATTTATTCCTCTTGCCCTGTTACAATTTATTCTTTACTCCCTCTTGCTTTCGTTGCATCTCCCTTAGTGGACAACTATTAGGCTTGCATGCATCTTTTCCAGGGAGTCATAACATAAAACAAGGGCTGATTCAAATTTGTAGGTGATGCACTGAAGTACTGGGTCTTCATACTTAGGATGTAATTTATGGTAACTTAATTGATAACAAGTAGACAGTCACCTTCTATTTATCATTGTAGTTTTTTGTTGCTATACTCTTTTGCTGTCCAGTTTTAAAGCATTATACCATCTTCCATTTTATTTCCTACCTCTGAATTCAGAAGACCACGTCTTTTGTGAATTTAGAGGTATCTCTCATTTTTATTAATTTCCTTAAAAGCTAAATCATACCATGTATTATATCCTGACAGCAAAATTATTTACTTCTTTCAGATAAGTGTTTTTATCTAACTTTTATTGTGTTATATTGAATCTATATTTTCAATCACAACAAAACGCTTCCATATATTCCTGATGACAAAAATTAAAACAGTTATCTACTGGAGCTTTAACAGTGACTATGTATTTTTTTTCTTTTGTTTTAATCTAAATAATACTATGATTCTCAACCAGTTATCTCTAATCAAAATTTTGATTTCCCTCTTGCTAAAATTATATTGTTTCCTCTTAAAAACATGGCATAAGCATGTAACATCCTATCTTTTTCAATGGGAATGAGGCATATCAGCATTTGGTTTCCTGGAGTATAAAGTCCCACCAGTTGAGCCCCAAAATCACTTTACTAGACTTCTAGCACAGTGGCTTCTAAAAATTCGTAGTTTACTTGCCTAAAACTATTATGTATGCATTTCTTGGTTAGATGCCATTTAAGGACAGTGTCTTTGAGAGTAAAAGGAGGAGGGACACTTGTTTTTGTTTTTGTTTTTCAATTAGGTCTAGAAATATGCTGCACATGGCAGCTGTGGCCACATGCAGCTATTGAGCACTGGAAATGTACCTAGTCTGAATTGAGATGTGCTTGAAGTGTGAAGTACATACCAGATTTCAAAGATAGCCAAAAAACCAAAATATCTCAATAATTTAATATTGATTTCATATTGAAATTATATTTTTAATATACTGGGTTAAAGAAAATCTTAATTTTACCTTCCTTTTACCTCTTTAATGTGGCAAAAATGTAAATTACATATGTTACTCACTTTCTATTTCTATTGGATGGCATTGGTCTAGAAAATCTTACATATTTACTAGTATTTGGCAGCTGCTGTCTCTGAATTATCTGTTTCCAAAGAAAATTTGAGAGTCTCTTTAAACCAAAATTTTACATAGTTCTCTTGAATGATCCCACTAAGTACTTAAATATGTAAATGTATCAAACTTAAGAAGTACCAAGCTTTTTAAGGCAGGGAATGAGGCGTGTTAGAGTCCCTTGTAAGATATTTGTTGAATTGTTTTTGTCCCATTTTTTAAAGCCTTGTCATATTTACACAGATATGTCAGATCTGTTCCTCAAATACTTTTTATGGTTAAAAAGCCATTTTATATATGTAGAGTTACAGAGTACTATATGTATCTCTACATATATAAAAATGTATAAACAGAACAATTTTGTCATTCTACAGCTTTGCAGCAACATAGTAACTTTTCATAGAAGCTGTGAATGATGGAATATATCAGCATATTCATTCTCTAGTTTACTTACATCTTTGACAACTGACAACAAGAGGGCATGACCATTTGTAATTCAGTTAATAGAACTGGGCACAGGTCCCTACATTTAATATCACTGACATTTGGTTTGGAGTGACTCTGTGGAAGTAATTTACATTAATAATCTAGATGAATGAAATATCAGAGCTAAAAAAATTTTCTTGGAATTCCTAATGGTTTGTGCTGATACTTTTTTTTTTCCTTCAGGTTCTTTTTATAATAGCTTTATAGAGATATAATTCATATTCCACACAATTTACCCTTTTAAAGTATACAGTCCAATGGTTTATAGTAATACTATATTTACAGATTTTTACAACCATCACCACAATCTGACTTTAGAACATTGTCATCACTCCAAAAAGAACCCCATAACCACACCCATCCCCCAGCCCTAGGCAACCACTGAGCCACTTTCTGTCTCTATGGATTTGTCTGTTATAGACAGTTCATATGAATGGAATCATATAATATATGGTCTTTTGTGCCTGGCTTCTTTCATTTTGCATAATGTTTTCAATGCTCATCCATGTTGTAGCATGTATTAAGACATCATTCCTTTTCATAGTCCAATAGTACTCCATTGTGTAGACATACTATGTTTTATCTCTTCATCAGTAGTGGTATTTGGCTGATGCTTTTTTAATATTAAAAAAATTAATGAAGTCAATATTTACATTTAGTAAGACCCTTCACATATATTTTCATATTGAGCCTCACAGTAGTTAGTTAAGTGTTGTCATAGTCATCCTTTTATAGGTGAAGAAATGGAGGCTCAGAAAGCCTAAGTAACTTGCCTAAGATTACACAGCAATTAAGAACTAGAACTGGTATTCAAAGCCAGTTTATCCAATTCTGAAATATGTTTTTATTCTTATTGCCATAGCTCCTAGGCAATTTTATTCTAAAGAAAAATTATGGTCAGGTGTGGTGGCTCACACCTGTAATCCCAGTACTTTGGGAGGCCAAGACAGGAAGAACATGAGGTCAGGAGTTCAAGACCAGCCTAAGCAACATGCTGAAACCCCGCCTCTACTAAAAATATAAAAATTTGCTGGGTGTAGTAGCTCATGCTTGTAATTCCAACTACTCAGGAGACTGAGGCAGGAGAATTGCTTGCACCTGGGAGGTGGAGGTTGCAGTGAGCTGAGATCACGCCGCTGTACTCCAAAGACAAGAGCAAAACTCCATTTCAGGAAACAAGGAAAAAAAAAAAAAAGAAAAGAAAAGAAAGAAAAGAAAAATTACTTACTAGCTAGCTTCTTTGTTTTTTTTCTTGATTTCCTGTACTCTTAGGTATGGGAAACAGACTTGAAAAAACATTTAATGTGGCCTTTCCCAATAATTTTATGGACAATATGGCAATATATTCTAAGTGATAACATACCTCAGTAGCTTAGCAACAGATAGAAAATTGTTAAAGACGCAAACTGATCAACAGATCCATGTCCACCTATGGGGACAAATCCAAGGGTGTGCTGAAGGGCTCACTTCTTTTCCCACATCCCATGAAAAACATTTATTAGTGACTTAGACAAAACTATGTTTATATTAGAAGACCAAGTTTATCATATCTGTGGGAGTCCCAAAATGGAAACTGAATTCAGTCCTTCTGATTGTGTCATACACAGAAGATACGCTCAATAAAAACCTTTGGTAGTAATAAAATTTATTCTGTCCTGGATTCCTTTTTTTCTTTAGGGTTCTGTAGCTATAGCTGGTGCTGTTATTCGCTGGCTAAGAGACAATCTTGGAATTATAAAGACCTCAGAAGAGATTGGTGAGTATGTTCTAACAAAAGGTTAGAAAATCTAAAAAATGACACACACATTTCAGTGTTTTATCTCTGCAATCTGTAAATACTTATGCTTTTCCCCAAATGTATTCCATAAATTATATGCATCCCTATTATGAGTTTGACTTATACAAAAGACTATTTTGTGAAGATTTATAAAACGAGGAATTGACATAATTGGTGATGGTTATTGATAAACTGGCAATGTAGGGCATAAAAATTATCCAAGTATAAAATTGAACACTGGAGATTGCCAGAACCTGTAGATAGAGAAGTTGAGTTAAATTTATCTGATGAGAAAGAGCTTTAACTCCTAGATTAGAGTGAGCATTAAAACTCTGGTACTATAAGTATTATTATAGCTATTTTCAGTCTATAGCTAATTAGTTTGAACCTACCTACTCACTCTTTCATCCACTTAACTTTGCCTGAAGGTGAGACAATCAGAAATACATTTCAGATTAGGGACACACTAGAGGCCACTTTTTCATCTCCTATTCAGCAACCTTAAAAATAGTGGAAATGAGCTAGAATACCTTAAAGAAACGAATCCAGTTCCTTGATTTCTTGAGCTAGGCTGCATTTTAGTGGGGGGTATTTAATGTGGGATAAATTCATTTTTGTTGATCCTACCCTACTACTGTAGTTAGCAACATTTTGCTCTACCAATGAATTGGAAACCAAAATCCCTGTTCTAATTTTTCTAATTTCTAAAATAGGTATGCTTATTTGATAATACAGAATATTTGTGTAATTTTTGTTTTTCCTTTTTTTTAATGTTAGAAAAACTTGCTAAAGAAGTAGGTACTTCTTATGGCTGCTACTTTGTCCCAGCATTTTCAGGGTTATATGCACCTTATTGGGAGCCCAGTGCAAGAGGGTAAGTATTGAAAATATGGTGTGCTTTTGGGGATCTTGATATATTTACTAAAGCAGTTAATAACTAGTTAGTTTCTTATCTATTTTCAAATGATTTTAATGTGTTGGAGAAAACCTTTTGTTTTTGGAGAGTATAATTTCAGAAGCTTTAGCTCCAAGAAGTTATGAATTAGCTGACAGTAACCCCTGCCATATCCATATTCATGTTATTATCTTTTATCTTCAAGGTGTCTGCAAGTTGTATAGTGAAGGGATATCATCATAATGAATATTGATTCGTTTTATGATGCCATCATGTCTTCAAATGCATCATGAACTTTTTCTTTTTTTTTTTTCCCTAAAAAGTCAGCTTTATTGAAATATAATTCACACACCATATAACTCATCCACTTAAAGGGTAAAATTAAACAATACTGCTATAATCACAGAGTTGTGCAACCATCATGAACTTTTTCATATATGAATGCAGAATTGTGAAATATAAGGACTAGCGAGTTAATGATTATGTCTAGTTTTCTCTTCCTGAACATTTGTGTCTACCAAATTTGACCTTTTCATATTTGAGATATTTCAAGTTGATTGATACGTTTATACCATTCTAATCTGAAAATCTTTTTGCATATTTTTAGGATAATCTGCGGACTCACTCAGTTCACCAATAAATGCCATATTGCTTTTGCTGCATTAGAAGCTGTTTGTTTCCAAACTCGAGAGGTAACAAATATGGGCCTCTTTTCTTGTACTTAGTTCACTTTTATCACTCTTAAGTTACATGTTATTGCCCAAGATTATTTAGTACTGAAAATGTAGTTAATCAAATATTAAGCCTGCCTAAATACTAATCTAAATATAAGTAGGGGTTTCCCCCTTTTCTAGCTGTTATTACCTTCTAACTTACTGTTCCCTGTCAGGCACTGGGAATTTTATGGTTGTGGGGAGGTTGAATGATACACATTAGGCAAAGGAAAGAGCACAAACATAGGCATCAAGACAGAAAAACAGGGTGCAATATGGAGTTGTATAGCTTAGCTAAATATCAGGGTGAATACAGAGGTGTAGTGAGAGAAAATGTTGGCTGTGACCAGATCAAAGAGGGCCTAGAAGACCAGTATAAGAAGTGTCAGTTTATTCCATAGGCTCTTGGAAGCTCTTGAGACTTTCTGAGTGAAGGATTGCCATTTTCAGAGATGTTACTATGAAATAGAGTTATAGCATTAATTGCATTGGTTTATTTAAGATTTTGGATGCCATGAATCGGGACTGTGGAATTCCACTCAGTCATTTGCAGGTAGATGGAGGAATGACCAGCAACAAAATTCTTATGCAGCTACAAGCAGACATTCTGTATATTCCAGTAGGTCAGTAAGTCTTCATTCCTTTAAACTCCCGGAGTAATGTTTCTTATGGAGGAACTAGTTCTTTGGGCATATGTAACCACATAGATGTTGATGGAACTCTCTCCCCTCAGTGAAGCCCTCGATGCCTGAAACCACTGCACTGGGTGCTGCCATGGCAGCAGGGGCTGCAGAAGGAGTCGGCGTATGGAGTCTTGAACCCGAGGATTTGTCCGCCGTCACAATGGAGCGGTTTGAACCTCAGATTAATGCTGAGGGTACATTTAAAGAATGAAAGTTTTAGTGGTATACTGTGAAAACAACCTTAGTGCAAGGGAGTTTTGTTTTTCTGTTTAGTTAAAAGTTAAGGAACCAAGTAAAATTGTAAATGTTATCATTGCAGATTAGGCTACTAAGCATATTGGGCTTTACTGAATAAATGTGAGTGACAGAAATCGCTTCTTATCAAAAGAACTTCTAAAACCACTTTTTAAAAACTACTCACTTTTACTGTTTATGGTCCTTTAGTGTAGGAGAATAGTACTGCCACACTGTCAGGTGTAGCTAGTTAGAATAGCGGTTTTTAAAGTGAGAAGGAAGATATATCAGCCACTCACCCCTAATGTCTACACCAGATCATCTTTGGTGCCAGTGGCCCAGCTTTAGGACATAATTAGCTGGGTTAAGAGATATTCTGGTAATTTTTAAGCACAACAGGACTAACCTGATGAAGGCAGCAACAATTTAAGTAAGTGAACATTAGATAATGTGATTCACTGTGCTAACTATGCTAAGGCACAAGCTCTGGTCAGCACTTTTGCTAAAATGTAGTGATGCATCTCTTAAAGTAAATGTGATTAGAAAAATAAGGTTTTGCAGGCTGGGTGCAGTGGCTCAAGCCTGTAATCCCAGCACTTTGGGAGGCCGAGGCGGGTGGATCACGAGGTCAAGAGATCGAGACCATCCTGGTCAACACGGTGAAACCCCGTCTCTACTAAAAATACAAAAAATTAGCTGGGCATGGTGGCGCGTGCCTGTAATCCCAGCTACTCAGGAGGCTGAGGCAGGAGAATTGCCTGAACCCAGGAGGTGGAGGTTGCGGTGAGCCGAGATCGCGCCATTGCACTCCAGCCTGGGTAGCAAGAGTGAAACTCCGTCTCAAAAAAAAAAAAAAGAAAGAAAAATAAGGTTTTATATATTAGAATTGGTTTTATAACTTTTTAGAAAACTATGCATAAAATAGTTTCAGCCGGGAATGGTGATACGTGTCTACAGTCCAAGCTACTCAGGAGGATCTCTTGGGCCCAGGAGTTCAAGTCCAGCCTAGGCAACATAATGAGACCCCTGTCTCTTACCAAAAAAAAAAGCATCAAAGTGGATTTTGAGATATTGGGAATAAGGATTTTTGTTTGGTTTTACGGGAGACTGTGCCAGTGTTTCTCAATTTTATTCATTCTTTTAACATATATGAAAATGATTTAAAATACTAGTAATTTTATAGTCAGAGTATATCATATACCTTGATTTAGAAATGCGTTTCAACATCTGATATTCTGTCATTTTTAACTTTTGCGATACTGGATAAAATATGAAGTTCAAACAATTTTTCTACTTTTCAAAAAAAATCTACTTTTTAATAAGCAAAAAATGTCCAGAGCAATATATGGCCTCTAAATGGTAATCTTATTCTTAAAGCAAGGAAGTTCTATGCCAAGAGAACCATCTCTACTCTTAGAAGAGCCATCTTTGCTGGTGTTGAAGGCCTTAGCCTGGAGTGGATCAGTCATACCCTATTGTCCTCCCTCTCACCAGCCCTCATTCCTCCCCATAAACAAATGGGCACCTAGATATAGATAGTCCATTTTTCCAGCAAAGAGTTGTTTATAGCCAACCATAGGCCAGAGACTGTATTGATGTGGGGATATAGAGATGAATAAGACCTGATCTTCTTTTCTTTATTTTTTTTCTTTTTTTGAGATGGAGTTTTGCTCTTGTTGCCCAAACTGGAGTGCAATGGCGTGATCTCGGCTCACTGCAACTTCCGCTTCCCAGTTTTGAATGATTCTCCTGCCTCAGCTTCCCAAGTAGCTGGGATTACAGGCGTGTGCCACCACACCCAGCTAATTTTTTTGTATTTTTAGTAGAGATGGGATTTCACTATGTTAGCCAGGCTGGTCTTGAACTGCTGACCTCAGGTGATCCGCCCGCCTTGGACTCCCAAAGTACTGGGATTATAGGCATGAGTCACCATGCCCAAGCAAGGCCTTATCTTCTCATCTTCTTTTGCCCTTCAGAAGATTAAAGTATATTAGAAGCAGTAGACAAAACCATAAAAATTCACTGTGGTGGCTGACATCCTGGAGTATGTGTGAAAAGAGAGAGGGGGATAGAAATGGGGCACTGGAAAACTTTCTGAACTGAGTGATTCTTGAGCCTTGTCTCCTGGGTAATGTAGGGTTCGGGTGCTATGGAAAGTGTGGGAGGCTTGAGAGAAAGATAGCCCCATATGTGGTTCAGCATCCTTAGAAATACAGCGTCAAGCTCATTTTTGTTTAGTCTTTATGTTGTAGATTTCCACCTTTAAAAAATCTTGCTTTAAGATGCTGGGGTTGGGGGTAATGGGGCTGTGTCAGTAATCAACTCAAATCTTATGAGAAATCAGTATTTGTTAAATCCTCTGACTAAAATAAAAATATCTCCTTCTAATCTTCCCACATTATAGCATACCCTTTCCCTCATACCCTTTCCCAAAAAAAGAAGAGAAAACAGATCAAATGGGATTCCCCTTTCTAATTCATTACCACTTGTTTGTGAGTGGCCTAGTCTGCAGAGCAGGCAGTCTGTCTGCCAGTCTCCCTTTACCCTGCTGAATTTCCCCTACCCTGTTTTTGTTTGTTTGTTTGTTTTTGAGATCTAGTCTTACTCTGTCACCCAAGCTAGAGTGCAATGGTGTGATCTCAGCTCACCCTAACCTCTGCATTCCAGGTTCAAATTATCCTCCTGCTTCAGCCTCCCAGGTAGCTGGGTCTACAGGCAGGGTTTTACATTGCTCAGGTTGGTCTTGAACTTTTGAGCTCAAGCGATTCTCCCTCTTCACCCTCCCAAAGTGCTGGGATTACAGGCATGAGCCACCTCACCCAGCCTCCCCGTGTCCTGTTTCACTCCAACTTCCAAGCAAGCATCTCTTCCAGTCACTAGTAGTCACCAGCAACGATGTGCTTTCAAATCTGAGTCCTGGTAAAGCCCCACTGCAGTTTAATGTGTGCAATAATTTGTCGAGAATGTTGAGTGACCATAAGTATGGTATTTAGGATATCTCAGCAAATTACTTCTCATATGTGTTTTTTGTACCTTCTAATTCTAGAAAGTGAAATTCGTTATTCTACATGGAAGAAAGCTGTGATGAAGTCAATGGGTTGGGTTACAACCCAATCTCCAGAAAGTGGTAAAAATGTTTTTGTTTATTATTACCACATTTTCTTAGTATGTTAGTTATTTAAGTGTCTAGCCATTTATACATAGCCAGGCTACTCTGAAGAAAAGCATTATCATATGTCCAGAGATTCTAACATTTTGAAAACACTTTAAAGTTCTAAACACAAAATGTGAATTTTCAGGTTGATATATATACTTCAACTCTATCCTGCCATATCTTTTCTTATTAGGTTATTCCTGGTACTTCAATTGACAACTTAGTCTTCCAAGAATAAAATTATTTCTAGTTTCTTCTTAATGGAAAAAAAATCAAGTAGAGTCTTCATTTTTTTCTCACTCTCCTCTTACTTTACCTTTTTGGGGGGCTGTCTTTATGACCTGAACCAACTGAAAGCTGTATTAATTTCAGAAAATATTCTGCTACTTCCTAGGCTGATTTCAAGTACATGATGGGGATTCCTTTGGAATCAGAGAGGAAGAAAGAAATATGTCAAACATAGTAAATTAGAACTCTTATAAATATATTGGGAAATGCTCTTAGCAGAAAAAATAGTGGACTATTCTACCTTTCAACACTTAGGAAGGCGACGAGCTTAAGTAAACCATTTAGATTTAAACAGCCTTAAGATGCATAATATTATTATTTTTTGCTAAATGCAAGATGTGGAGCATAATGATTGGAACAATGGCAAATAATATATTGAAGCATATACTTTTTTTTTTTTTTTTTTTGAGACAGAGTTTCACTCTATCACCCAGGCTAGAGTGCAGTGGTGTGATCTTGGCTCACTGCAACCTCTGCCTCCCAGATTCAAATGAGTTTCCTGCCTCAGCCTCCCAAATAGCTGGGATTACATTTGCCCACCAACATGCCCAGCTAAATTTTTTGTATTTTTAGTAGAGACAGGGTCTCACCATGTTGGCCAGGCTGGTCTGGAATTTCTGACCTCAAGTGATCCGTCTGCCTCAGCCTCCCAACTCCCAAAGTGCTGGGATTACAGGCGTGAGCCATCGCACCCGGCTAAAGCACATACTTTAATGGAGAAGAGTTGACAAATGAAATAATACCTGCCTTCCAACCCCAAGGTGAATGTATCTGTTTTTTAGGAGAAGCTTTCAGAGCCATCTACTACCACAGATCACTGAGGTCTGTATTTTTAGGCCTGGATGTTTTTCTACTAAATAAGTTTAGTATCTTTTGTTGTGAGACTTAGCTTCCTTTTCCAAGATGGTAGCAAAGTTTTTCTTGCTAAGACTGTAATTTTGAGAGCCCCTTTACAGTTGAACTTCTCAAGCATAAGTAGTTTTCTAGCACAGTACTAGTTGCTGTGTGAGATGTAATAGATGTAAACCCAGACGTCTTTTCTAGTTGCCCTTAATTATTTGCTTATAAGAAATTGAGTTACATGATTTCTTTAACTAGCTGGATGTTTTAAAATGGCACAATCCTCCTGCCTTCCTCCCTCCAACCCCATGCCTTACACACACATACACAATTTTCCTCACTAGCAGTTGAGGATGTAATTCTCACTGCAAAATTCCCACAAAGTCAACTGATCATTTTCCCCTTGTTTGTGTACCTTACTATCAGTGAATTTAAAATGCCACGAAAAAATTGATAAAACAAGCAAAAATATGATTGCTCCTATTTCTACTATCAGTATTGATGATAAAAGTAATTTGATTTTTTGAGATTTTTATTTATTTTGTTTGTTTGTTTGTTGAGACAGAGTCTTGCTCTGTTGCCCAGGCTAGAGTGCAATTCGATCTTGGTTCACTGCCACCTCCACCTCCTGGGTTCAAATGATTCTCTTGCCTCCCAAGTAGCTGGGATTATAGGCACCCGCCACCTCGCCCGGCTAATTTTTGTATTTTTAGTAGAGACAGGGTTTCAACATCTTGGTCAGGCTGGTCTTGAATTCCTGATCTTGTGATCCATCCACCTTGGCCTCCCAAAGTGCTGGGATTATAGGCATGAGCCATGGCGCTTGGCCAGAGAGTTTTATATATTTTTTAAGAATTTTGTTTTTGTTTCAGTTAGGCTGCAGTGTATTTAGGCCAGTTTGAAAATGTTTTTTAAATAGATTTACGAAAAACACTCTAAAATGTAATATTTTAGGGGTCTCTAAGCTGTATAATAATCTTGGAATAGTAATCATCAGTTAATAAAATGCTAGTTGTATTCCTTTAAGCAATATAAGCTATATAACTGTATAATAAGTTATGTGATAATAGCAGTACAGATAGAATCCTATTTCAATACACTTGAAAGGATATTAGAACTGCTACCTGTATCTTATCTCATGGGAAGAATATTAGGCTTCCTTAAGTTCCAAAGCAGTTTGCCAATTTTGAAGCAATCATATTTATTTTCTTGTTTGTGACTATATTTGAATGCTTTGTAAACAATTTTTAACATTTCATATGTATTTAAAATATATTGTCAGAGGCTGGGCATGGTGGCTCATGCCTGTAATCCCAGCACTTTGGGAGGCCGAGGCCGGCGGATCACAAGGTCAAGAGATCGAGACCATCCTGACCAACATGGCGAAACCCCTGTCTCTAATAAAAATACAAAAATTAGCTGGGCTTGGTGGCGCATGCCTGTAGTCCCAGCTACTCGGGAGGCTGAGGCAGGAGAATCCCTTGAACCCAGGAGGCTGAGGTTCATTGAACTAAGATCGCGCTCCAGCCTGGTGACAGAGTGAGACTCTGTCTCAAAAAAAAAAAAAAAAGAAAAGAAAGAAAAAAGTAAATATATTGTCAGATGCATTTTGTTACATACTACATTCTATTTAAAAAATAAAATTGAACTAATATTTTAGCAAAAATAGGGTTTTAAATTCATCTTAGGACACTAATATAACTCTTGTCTTGTAGCCAAAGGACCTAGAATTTGAACTTGAACAGAATTATATAGATCATTTAGTATCTTTTCGGGAAGAATCAAGAAAGCTAAAATTAACAGCCTCCCAAAAAGTTATCCATAGGCTCTCTCTGGCTTTGCCAGTGGAAGGCTAATGTTGGTCTATATGTATTATGTTCTTGGCTGTGTGGCATGCTATCTGTATTGTTTGTAAACTGTCATAAGCCTTCAATACTGATTATATTTTTGATTTGAAGTAGTAACTCTTTGCTAGCTTTTATGAATATACTATTTTTTATAGCTTATTTTGTTTTGCTATCTTGTGATTCTTAACACAAATATTGTAATTATGTGTCTCTCTTTTGGTTTGCTTGACTGGAATTCTCTTCTGCTTGGATGACCACAGGTGACCCTAGTATCTTCTGTAGTCTGCCCTTGGGCTTTTTTATAGTGAGTAGCATGGTAATGTTAATCGGAGCAAGGTACATCTCAGGTTAGTTACTCTTTAAATTAGACAATTATATTAGTTAGCTTTAATGTTTTCGTGTATAACTTGGCAGAAATTTTTCAGTGTTTTTTATTCTTTCTATTGTCTAGGAAGCTGGAAAATCAACTTAAGGTCTAATTAGTTAGACTAATCTTTGGGTGCAGTTAGAAGTAAGAACTATGACTCTGCTTAACCTTTTTAAATTTTTAATGTGATGATTTCTTTGAGAGGGACTACATTCTGCTGTCAGCTACAGCAGTAAGCAAAAGTGAAAATACTAATGTTTAAATGAAAGGACTTCCAAATTGACTGCTGAAAGTTAAAGTATAATTTTGACATTAATTAAATTGTCTTTTAAATATGTATAAATTATTTTTCATACTCCTGAAAATTTGCTAAGCAAGTCTTAACATTGAATTCTGGCAAGACTTTCAGCCAGAGCATGTCAGCAGAGTTCCTGTAAAACTCTAAAACCAGGGAAGATTTATAGTTACTTTTATTTCAGTTAAAAGAATATATTTTATGAACTGAAGGTTTAAACATTATTGCTTAAATAAATTGGGGTTGAAATGAAAACAGAATTATTTTTCCACATTAACTTCTACCGAATACTTTTTAAAATAAAAGTAAAGTGGTTCAGCATGTTATGAAATATATTGCATAATCTTATTAATTTATGATAGCCATTTTTGGAAGCCACTCCTGATGATAGCTCAGTTTTTCTTAAAATTACTGGCTTAAATAGAAATGATGTTTCTTATTCTGCATGTTCCCATAAAATTGAAGCTTTAAAAAAAAATCTTCATGATTAGGGAAATAGTTAAATTCTCTCTTATTTAATAAGGTAATGACCTGAGTTCAAGACGTAAAATTTAAACTTTAGTGATACGAGAGGGAACATCTGTTTGTGAAGATCTGACAAACATTTATTTGGCTTGGCATTATCAGTTTAGTGCTATATATAAATGTGGAATGAAAGTTATTTACAGAAAATTATTTGCAGAACATTAGATTATCTTTTAATGAGAAAATTTCGGTTACTTGCATGAGAATTTAAAACTAGATTATCTTACTTTTTTCCATATTCTGAATGTTCAAACATATTCAGAATAAATTTGTTCAAATTGCCTGCTTCTGTACTAACAATACCTTAGTTTGGTATCAGTAAAAGAAGAAAACACTATGGAATACTACAGAAAATATTGTAAATATTGTTTCCAAAAATACAACCACTAGTCCAAATAAACTTATTTTTTCTTTGAATTACCTTACAAAGGACCTCTGTATACATAAATCTATGGGGAATCTGTTCTTTCTGCTTCTCAAGAATGTTTGGTGGAAGACTGTAAACATTCCCATGAGAACTGTAATTTAAATCTATAAAGAAACATATACATTGTTTTAGAAAAAGTTCTGTTACTTTTCATTATCCTGAGTATTTTGGGCTGCATAATGATGGTCTGGAAAAGTAAAGAAAAAAAAACATTGCAGCTGAAAATTTTGACTTTTTTCGTTTGTTTCTCCCTTGGTATTATGACATCATGAAAAGGCCTTGTCTCTATGAACATTGAGACATGTGGCATCTCTCTAAGCTAAAAGATGCGCTAAGTGTCCAGATTCTTAGGCTTCTAAAATGCATGTGGTCACTATATTTAGGTTCTCTTTTTGGTGACATACACTGCAATTTGAGAGGGCTGGAAATTGTTTGTCTTGGTAAACAATTAGCAACAGTGGCAATATTTGCTAATTTTGGAATTGGCCCTGTTATATTTGTTGCATTTTAATTGTGAGGCATGGTTTAGAAATCATATGGACTTTCTAGCTTCATAAATGATTGAATAGTCTTCATTGCTTTAACTCCTGAATTGTATGCACGTATTATTGACATATATGGTTTTTGTTCCCCATTTCAGGTATTCCATAAATACTACCAACTCATGGATTCCCAAGATTCAAGCTTTTTACATAATGAAAGAATCCAGCAATTCTGTCTCTTAATGTGATGACACTATTCATAGACTTTGATTTTATTTATAAGCCACTTGCTGCATGACCCTCCAAGTAGACCTGTGGCTTAAAATAAAGAAAATGCAGCAAAAAGAATGCTATGGGAACATATGGTGGCTTTTTTTTTTTTTTAACATCCACGGTTAAGGTTGGGCCAGCTACCTTTGGGGCTGACCCCCTCCATTGCCATAACACCCTGCTCCATTCCCACTAAAATCTTGGAAGAATTCAGATCCTCACCCTTGGAACCTTCCATCAAACACACTCAAACACTATTGGACCAGGATTTGAGTCTCTGCATGACATATATTTGATTAAAAGGTTATTACTAACCTGTTAAAATGAGCAGCTTTTTGCATTTAACAGACACCCCCAAAGTCTTCTTTTCTATTTAGAAGACTGCAACACCTTTACTGAACGTTTGAATAGAAACCTCTACTAAATTACTAAAATAGACATTTAGTGTTCTCACAGCTTGGATATTTTTCTGAAAAGTATTTGCCAAAACTGAAATTCTTCAGATATTTTCCAAGGTCCTACTAATTAAAATGACTTTCTGTCTGGATCTTATAGGAAAGGATACTTTCTTTTGTCTTCCATCTTTCCTTTTTATATTTTTTACTTTGTATGTATAACATACATGCCTATATATTTTATATACTGAGGGTGGCCCATTTTTAAATTAAGAGCACATTATATTCAGAAGGTTCTAACAGGGCTGGTCTTATGTAAACCACTATGTATATAAAATGTTGGAAAACAGCTGTATACATTTTTGGGCAACGGTTATGCATAATATTTGCCAGAAGAATCTTTTTCTTAAAGAGCCAACATTTAAAATTTGTGTTTTATGTCAATAAAAGAAAATATACTTCAACTATATTTCTTATCCCTTACATTTTTATTTAATTGTCTTAGCTTAAAAAAAGAAGAAACTGCAGAATACTACAGTAAATATTGTTTTCAAACACAAGCACTAATTCAGATAGTTATCTTTCCTTTGAATTAATTTTAAGTGTATTTTGGGTCCTATTGAGGGGATGAGAGGATGTCAAAAAAAGTTAAATATCTAAGCAGAATAAAGTTTAGAAATAAAGCCAAGAATCTCTTTCATTTCAAATGTTATAAATTGTTAATAAGAAACATGCTATCTGGGGTGACAGAATTATCCCTGCTTAATATCATAACTGAAAAAAGGTTTATCATTACAAATGCCTTCCAATGAAACCAAGAATTTCTCAAAATATTTAATGTCACATATTATAAGAAGTTATCTAATGTAGCTTCTTAAGGTCAATTTTTAAAAGTATCTTAAAATCACTTTGTTTTGTAGTAAATAGTGAAGAAAAGGTTGCCTCCTAATTATTTTCTTCAATGAGTACTGAATGGGAAAATATTTATATCTTACTATAAAAGGTTCTGTTTTGTTTAGAATTAATGGTAGCTTTATTAACTGTTCTGATTGTGCTGTTTCTAAATTACTGAATTGGGTAGGTTTTATTGATGCACCTGTCATTTAACTGACATAAATACTATAGAAGGGTATTGTGAAATGATCACTTTGTGGCAGGGGTACTTTTAAACATGATTGTTTCTACAAAAGTAGGTTGAGTTCATTGTAAATAATTGTGAAAACGACTGTTCAAATAATTTTAAGATTACATTAATTTTTCTATAAATTGCAAGATTTATAAATGTTTGAAAATGTACACATTGATACCTAATGACAAATTGACTTAAAATAAATTGACCCCTCGTTCTTATTTGCATTTCTCATTTACAGACTAGAACTTAGATGAAAGTTAAATTAAGAAAGATGTTTCAGGAAATGTGAAACTCAGCTGTTAGCACTTGATATGGCCCACTCTGAAGAGTTAACCAACGGCCAAAGAAGTAATTTCTGTAATGATGAACACCTTAAACATTCTATTAGAACAGACTACACTGTCCCATCTCAGCATTTGCAGAAAATACGTTGGTGAGGTCAGCAGCCATTATCCATAGGGTCTTGCGTGGCTAACCATGACCACCATTGTTCTCTCAACCTGTTAACCAACACCTCAATCCTTTGTTCTCCAACTAATCAGTAAAATAAGTAATGTATCTCTGCTTTTGTAATGATATCTGAGAATTTTTAGTATGTTTCTTTTGAAGTACCCAAAGCCCGATTCTTTGGGATATCTTTTGGGTATCTGGTATCATGTGGGAGTGAAGAATGAAAGTTATTTTGGAGAAACCAACGAAGTTGTGATAGCACAGAAGCTAATGGCGTAGACAGTGGAATGGGTAGTATTTCACCTCTAGTGTTTACATAATAGTAGATTGAAGTACCAGTTTTTTTAACTGTAACTCTTTAATAGCTTGTTTTGTCTAGTAATAAATAATGAAGTTTCCTTGATTCTTTGCTTTTGCAACCTAACAACTAATAAGTTCACATAATAAACACATAATAACTAATAAATTCCCATAACTAATAAGTTTACATAATAAACAATTAGTAGAAAACTGAGTGAAATTGTAAACTAATCTGATTTGTACTTCGTGTATACTTCATAGGTACATATCTTAACTCTGGCCTTATAATTAAATATAAGATGTGTCAAGTACTGTAGACAAAAAGAAAAATCTCACAGGTATTTCCTGAGATTTCCCTGTCATCAGTTTTAATGAAAATGACTCATTAAACTAAATTTGAGGACTATAAAGATAAATATTCTGAGAAGGAAAAGTTAGGTTAAAAACAGGTTTCTCAACTAGGCCAGTATCTTTGACAGTTTTCATTCTATTTCAAATAACTAGTTCTACCTGACAGCATAACAGTTGCGAGGATGACAATATTTTATTTTAAAAAGCAGCCTCAGGCCTCTTTCAATTTTCCTGTTTAGTATTAAAATTAAGTAGCTTCTTTTATTCCTTATTATTGAACTTGATAATATCTATCTCATAGGTTTCTTATTATTGTATGACTAGTTAACAAGTGGATTTCATAAATATCAAATCATTTAAGTAATCACCAAAATATCCATCAAGGATAAACTTGTTAAATTAATTCTGGTACAGCCATAACAAATAAAATGTGTAGCTTTAGAAAAGAATGAGGACACTGTCTAGAAAGACATGGTATTCAGGGCAAGTGAAAAAGCAAGGTGCAGAGTAGCATGTTAAGTGTGCTACCCTTCTGTTAGGGAGAGACAGAGAGAGAAACTAGAATGTTTGCTGTGCCAGAAGGACTGGAAAGCTGCTAATAGTGCTTATCTACTGGGACAGAAAGGGGTGATAATTAGGTATTTGGGAGATAGGGGTGGGAAAAAACTTCACTATATATGTGTGTGTGTGTGTGTAAGTATGTGTGTGTGTCTATATATATATAGACACACACACATATATATGTACACTTTTTTGTTTTTTGAGACAGAGTCCCACTCTATTGCCCAGGCTGGAGTGCAGCATTATGATCTGGGCTCACTGCAACCTACGTCTCCCAGGTTCAAGTGATTCTCCTGCCTCAGCCCTCCTGCATAGCTGGGACTACAGGTGGATGCCCCCACACCCAACTAATTTTTGTATTTTTAGTAGAGACAGGGTTTCTACTAAAACCCAGCTGGTCTTGAACTCCTGACCTCAAGTGATCTGCCCACCTTGGCTTCCAAAGTGCTGGGATTACAGGTGTGAGCCACTGCTCCTGGCCACTATATATTTGAAACATCTTAATTGTTAGTATGTATAATATTAAACCAGATTTAATGTATTAACTATTTAAAAACTAGACTTTTAAACTCTACGTTCCAAAATCTAATTTTTATCTTTAATGCTGCTATGAATATTTATATACAGTAACCTCTGAATTTAAGTTCAAAGGTTCATTCAGAGGTTACTGTATATAAATATTCAGACAGCATTATTCATAATAGCCAAAAAAAGGAAAGCACCAAAATGTCTATCAATTGATGAATAGATAAACAAAAGCAGTATATCCTTGTAATGGAATATTATTCAGCAATAAAAAGAAAGTACTGATACATGCTGTATGAAGGAACCTTGGAAATACTATGAAAAGTGACACAGAAAGCCACATATTGTACTGATTTCAGTCATATAAAATGTCCAGAATAGACAAATCCATAGAGACAGAAAGTACATTAGAGATTGCCAGGGGCTGGTGGATGGGGAAATGGGAAAATGACTGCTAATGAGTATGGGGTTTCCTTTGCGGTGAAGAAAATGTTCTGAAACTAGATATGGTGGTTGTACTTTGTGAATATACTAAAAGCCACTGACTTGTTTATACTTTAAAGGGGTGAATTTTATGGTATATAAATTATACCTCAATAAAAATGTAATAAGAAATTTCAGAGGTCATGAGTTAGTGATGCATAGGCCAAATTCTGCCCACAGATTTGTTTAAAACAACAAAATTGTTTAAATTTTTTATTTATGTAAAATAAACATAAATGTGCAGTCCCTAATGGCACATGGGTTTCTGATCCCTGAAATGAGCCCCTTGAAGAAAATGAATTTTATTTACTCTTTGAAAAATGTAGGGTAAGAAATTTAACTCCTTATTTTTCACTTTTTCTCAAGCATTTATTACTGAAAGTAAGAAAACTGCTTTAGGCACTAATACATAAATACGATGATAAACAGAAGGTCCGCCTTTCCACTCACCTTCTCAAGGGTGTTCCAGGTCTGTCCAGTAGAATATACTCATACAACTTGGCTGGGAGTGGTGGCTCACAGGTGTAATCCCAGCCCTTTGGGAGGCCAAGGCGGGTGGATCACCTGAGGTCAGAAGTTCGAGACCAGCCTGGCCAACATGGTGAAACCCCGTCTTTACTAAAAATACAAAAACTTATCTGGGAATGGTGGGGGGCGCCTGTAATCCCAGCTACCTGGGAGGCTGAGGCAGGAGAATCGCTTGAATAGGGAAGGCGGAGGTTGCGGTGAGCCAAGATCGCGCCATTGCACTCCAGCCTGGGCATCAAGAAGGAAACTCCATCTCAAAAAAAAAAAAGAAAAGAAAGCCGGGCGCGGTGGCTCAAGCCTGTAATCCCAGCACTTTGGGAGGCCGCGGCGGGTGGATCACGAGGTCGAGAGATCGAGACCATCCTGGTCAACACGGTGAAACCCCGTCTCTACTAAAAATACAAAAAATTAGCTGGGCATGGTGGCACGTGCCTGTAATCCCAGCTACTCAGGAGGTTGAGGCAGGAGAATTGCCTGAACCCAGGAGGCGGAGGTTGCGGTGAGCCGAGATCGC